ACTCAAAGAACGTATCCACACTCAAAGAACGTATCCACACTCATAGAATGTATCCACACTCATAGAATGTATCCACACTCAAAGAACGTATCCACACTCAAAGAACGTATCCACACTCAAAGAACGTATCCACACTCATAAAATGTATCCACACTCATAGAATGTATCCAAACTCAAAGAACGTATCCACACTCAAAGAACGTATCCACACTCATAGAATGTATCCACACTCATAGAATGTATCCACACTCAAAGAATGTATCCACACTCAAAGAACGTATCCACACTCATAGAATGTATCCACACTCATAGAATGTATCCACACTCAAAGAATGTATCCACACTCAAAGAACGTATCCACACTCATAGAACGTATCCACACTCATAGAATGTATCCACACTCATAGAATGTATCCACACTCAAAGAACGTATCCACACTCAAAGAACGTATCCACACTCATAGAATGTATCCACACTCAAAGAACGTATCCACACTCAAAGAACGTATCCACACTCATAGAACGTATCCACACTCATAGAATGTATCCACACTCATAGAATGTATCCACACTCATAAAACGTATCCACTCATAGAATGTACCCACACTCATAGAATGTATCCACACTCATAAAACGTATCCACTCATAGAACGTATCCACACTCATAGAATGTACCCACACTCATAGAACGTATCCACACTCATAGAACGTATCCACACTCATAGAATGTATCCACACTCATAGAACGTATCCACACTCATAGAATGTACCCACACTCATAGAATGTATCCACACTCAAAGAATGTATCCACACTCAAAGAATGTATCCACACTCATAGAATGTATCAACACTCATAGAATGTATCCACACTCAAAGAATGTATCCACACTCAAAGAATGTATCCACACTCATAGAATGTATCCACACTCAAAGAATGTATCCACACTCATAGAATGTATCCACACTCATAGAATGTATCCACACTCAAAGAACGTATCCACACTCAAAGAATGTATCCACACTCATAGAATGTATCCACACTCAAAGAACGTATCCACACTCAAAGAATGTATCCACCCTCATAGAATGTATCCACACTCATAGAATGTATCCACACTCAAAGAACGTACCCACACTCAAAGAACGTATCCACACTCAAAGAATGTATCCACACTCATAGAATGTATCCACACTCATAGAATGTATCCACACTCAAAGAATGTATCCACACTTAAAGAATGTATCCACACTCATAGAATGTATCCACACTCATAGAATGTATCCACACTCAAAGAATGTATCCACACTCAAAGAATGTATCCACACTCATAGAATGTATCCACACTCAAAGAATGTATCCACACTCAAAGAACGTATCCACACTCAAAGAACGTATCCACACTCAAAGAACGTATCCACACTCATAGAATGTATCCACACTCATAGAATGTATCCACACTCAAAGAACGTATCCACACTCAAAGAACGTATCCACACTCAAAGAACGTATCCACACTCATAAAATGTATCCACACTCATAGAATGTATCCACACTCAAAGAACGTATCCACACTCAAAGAACGTATCCACACTCATAGAATGTATCCACACTCATAGAATGTATCCACACTCAAAGAATGTATCCACACTCAAAGAACGTATCCACACTCATAGAATGTATCCACACTCATAGAATGTATCCACACTCAAAGAATGTATCCACACTCAAAGAACGTATCCACACTCATAGAACGTATCCACACTCATAGAATGTATCCACACTCATAGAATGTATCCACACTCAAAGAACGTATCCACACTCAAAGAACGTATCCACACTCATAGAATGTATCCACACTCAAAGAACGTATCCACACTCAAAGAACGTATCCACACTCATAGAACGTATCCACACTCATAGAATGTATCCACACTCATAGAATGTATCCACACTCATAAAACGTATCCACTCATAGAATGTACCCACACTCATAGAATGTATCCACACTCATAAAACGTATCCACTCTTAGAACGTATCCACACTCATAGAATGTACCCACACTCATAGAACGTATCCACACTCATAGAACGTATCCACACTCATAGAATGTATCCACACTCATAGAACGTATCCACACTCATAGAATGTACCCACACTCATAGAATGTATCCACACTCATAGAACGTATCCACACTCATAGAATGTATCCACACTCATGGAATGTATCCACACTCAAAGAACGTATCCACACTCATAGAACGTATCCACACTCATAGAACGTATCCACGCTCATAGAACGTTTCCACACTCAAAGAACGTACCCACGCTCATAGAACGTTTCCACACTCATAGAATGTATCCACACTCAAAGAACGTTTCCACACTCATAGAACGTTTCCACACTCATAGAATGTATCCACACTCAAAGAACGTTTCCACACTCAAAGAACGTATCCACACTCATAGAACGTATCCACACTCATAGAATGTATCCACACTCATATAACGTATCCACACTCATAGAACGTATCCACGCTCATAGAACGTTTCCACACTCAAAGAACGTACCCACGCTCATAGAACGTTTCCACACTCGTAGAATGTACCCACACTCATAGAATGTATCCACACTCAAAGAACGTATCCACACTCATAGAACGTTTCCACGCTCATAGAACGTTTCCATACTCATAGAATGTACCCACACTCATAGAATGTATCCACACTCATAGAACGTGTCCACACTCATAGAACGTTTCCACGCTCATAGAACGTTTCCACACTCAAAGAACGTTTCCACGCTCATAGAATGTTTCCACACTCAAAGAACGTATCCACACTCGTAGAACGTTTCCACACTAATAGAACGTTTCCACACTCAAAGAACGTACCCACGCTCATAGAATGTATCCACACTCATAGAACGTTTCCACTCATAGAATGTATCCACACTCAAAGAACGTATCCACACTCATAGAACGTTTCCACACTCATAGAACGTTTCCACACTCATAGAACGTACCCACACTCATAGAACCCATCGCAACTCCTAAATACCAATCATCACTCATAGAACGCGTCAACTCTCCATACACCCATATACCTAACAATCACCAGCTCACGCTCACCAGTTCATGGCGGGTGAACTATTGTACTAATGAAACCCGTGCAGCATCACCGCGCGCACGCAGGCGGTGCGAGGACTGGGACCGTACACCTCCTTGCCTGCTGTGAGAGAAGGCCGTGTGTTTTTTAATGCGGTCACTGTCTCGAATATTTAGCAGTCATCATCCGGATCAGCCCAACGATAGACACGTTTGTAGCGACTATGCAGACCGTGAGGTCAACTTTCAGCACAGGAGGTCGTGGGTTCGATCCCGACCGTCACGTGACGCCTGCCGCATATTTGGAGTGCGCGTGTCTCTCTGCCCATGGTCGCGTGGATTTTTATCCAGGTCTTTTGGGTTTCGCCTCCACATTTAGAAACATGCGTTGAGAGTATTTGGCTGTTTTACATTTCCACGTGATAAGCCACTTCGTTGGGCTATCACTTGTGCCCACGTTGCTTCTCATAAAATATATATATATAGCTTAGTGGGCCTTAGCTGGTAAACGAGTCTGCAGTTTTATAGTTTAAGTTGCCTGGCCCTGGTGAGAGCCGCTCACAGCTTGCCCCCAACACTTTATTTGCGTCGCTCTCCGTCACCAACAGAGCCGTGAAATCACGGATTACACACACACTGGTGATGGGTATAGGGCGCAGGCATGAATCCAGATTCGCCGTATTGGTAAAAACGCACTTTCTATGAGATACATGTTAATATCCGGATTCATATTAATTACATTTTAAAGTTGTTGTTGTTGTTGTTTTTTTACATAACGAAAACAGCCATTACAATCCCGACAATCCATTGCTGTGGAGGCAGCGAGGGTTGATGGATCACACACGTGCCGTGAACCTCCGTGAGCGTCGAGGAAGGAGCTATACCCCGGCCAGCCAGGAGAGTGCGGTGCATCAACATGTGGACTCACACCACCTCTTACACCTGTGTAGGGGCAGAGGTGGGACAAAGTCATTTTTATGCAAGTCCAAGTCGAGTCTGAAGTCATCAAATTCATGACTCGAGTCTGACTCGAGTCCAAGTCACATGACTCGAGTCCACACCTCTGTGTAGGGGGATAGGGTGTTGAACACTTTGCAGGCGTGGGTTTACTTCGGGTGCTTCGCCCCCCCCCCCTCCTCCTCCCCCGACATGTATAAACGCTGATTAATTGATGGAAACATCGTAATATAGAGGACCACAAAGCTTGGACAATTGTTGGTAGCACCGCGTGGTATACAAAATCAAGTCTAATTTGGCAGTAAAATAATGTTTTACTCTGTTTTAAAGTGCGCTAGCTATGAGGATGTAACTAAAACGCGAAATCGTCCACGTGATGGCCATCTAACGCAGCGGTCGGGAACCTATGGCTCGCGAGCCATATATGGCTCTTCCAGTGACGGCATATGGCTCCCAGACAATTTTTGAGTTGAAAAAAAAATCAGTTTGGAACTGATTTTAAAATACTTGTGATATTTGCTTAATAATACCGTGTCATTTTAAAGTAAACAGAAATTAGTTTTGAAGATAAATTGCACGGGTCACGCCTGCATGAAGCTCAACCAGACTACAAGGCCATCAGCAAAACCATGTAGCACCAGAAGTCGCATTAAAAGCAAGACATATTTAATGTATTATACGTTAAAAATACTATATGGCTCTCAATGAAATATATTTAGAAATATTTGGCTTTTATGGCTCTCCCAGTCAAGAAGGTTCCCGACCCCTGATCTAACGTGTCAGGGCAGGGATTCGTGTCGGTCTCGAGAGAGAGCGAGTGTGGTCTCACGTGACCTGACGCGCGGTTGTTTTTGTAAAACAATTATCATTTAAACGTGTACCCAACTTCAGAATATCGCCGAACAATAGCTGAACGCAAAGTCACAATGGGAATATCGTCACCTTTTAATGTGTAAAAATACGCAGCGGAACAACTAATTATGCCCCGGAATGTTTCCACTACCAAGCTGAAAACATTCCCAACAGCAAATCACATTTACGCACATATATGAAAAGGGTTTGTCATTCTGTTTGAATTTTATAAAACCACGGAACACCTTCATCATTATAACTCTGCCTTAATGAGATCGGAGATGCTTAGAATTTTCGGCAAGAGCAGGAAGCCATCTTGATTCGACCATTGCTGCAAACGTTCAAGAAGCAAACCTTTGCGATGTGGAGACAGGATTGAGACGAATAAATTGGTCTCAGCGAGGTGAGAATGATAGGGTACATCTTCACACTTGTGAAGAGTGGCAGTATTTTCCATTATCGAGAGACAAGTGGCAGCCATTAAGGAGGAGTGGGGTTCTTTCTTCCCATGGGGAGGACATCAGGCAGAGTTGCCCAGTAAACGCTCAGACTCTAAAGCCACTGCAAGTTAAGAAATTCCTAAATATTGACACCACACACGCAAGCACTGAAAAATAATTAACTGCTAAATGAGGGCGAGGTGCATGACATCTTCTTAACGGGTGACATTGATGCACAAGCTGTAAACGGTGCAGAGCCGAGGGAGTGATTGGTTAGCTTAGCATTGGCGTGAGCAATGGGAGAGTCGAGCGTCCATTCGCAAAGACAAAACAATAACGGAAACCTTTTTTTCAAAGAGAAGAAATGAATGCAACGGACGTGGACGCGTCCAAATGTTCAAGCTGGACATGACAGTGAGTCGACTGTCACCGACAAAGTCTCGCTGATGGCCATTCAGAGATGTCTCGGTCTTTCGCCAGTCCAACACAGGCAGGAGGGGGAATCTGCCTCGTGCATCGGTCCATGATGGTGGAAATGAACGTCGTGGGTCCCCGTGGCAAGTAACGCCGGTCCTAGGGCCGTGCCTTAGACCGCCACCAGCAGCAGCAGCGTCCCAGCACACACTTCGTGAGATACATTCCGCACTCAGGACAGCGAGTCTGAAGATGCCGACCAGAGACTTGCTTTCCCTTGAAACGTAGTTTGAAGCAGGACGGTCGCTGCCCCGTATGCTAACAAACGAACGATAAGAACAAATCCACCTCGTTCTTTACGATCATTCTGTTTGGGTGGACGTCTGTGGAGTTTATCGACGCAGTCATGTCCCACGCATCAACAAATGCCACATTCATGTCTTTGAACACCTCCATTGTAACTTGGTTCATCCGAAACGTGTTCCAGTTGCTGTAGAATTCCAGGTTGGTCGAGTCTCGGGTGTTGGCCAACTTCACGACGACTTTCGTCTTGGGATTTCTGAGCAGCAGCCTCGCCACGGCCGCTCCGATGTTTCGCATTCGCCTGCGGAAAACCTCGACGGGGAAGACGACGAAGTGAGCGCCGAGGGAAATGGCCACCACGGTGTGGCTCCCACCGAAGGTGTCGTCGATGCGCTGGGCGATGTAGCGGGCGTCCTGCGTGACTGTGTAGGCCTGCGTGATCAGCGGGTACGCGTGGCAGTACCACTGCAGGGAAATGTTGTGCTCGATGTCGACTGCCAATCGTGGCTGTTGTCTTCCTTTACCGGGCTTCTTCAGGGCCAAACGTTTCAACTCTACGTTAAACTGAGATTTACGGGGGAAAAAAATATATATAGTCATATAATATAGAAAATATATAATCATATAATATATAAAATATATGATCATAATCAACATTGCAGGAATGGTTTGGTGACGCTGCTTCGGCAGCGGCGTAAAATCACGAAACTAAACAAAAACTCAACGCCTCCGTCATTAACACTGTGGCCTTAAAAGGATATACATACATACATGTAATAAAGCAGCGTTTCAGGAAATGACCCTTCTTCATATCACATCATATTCATACAACTGGCTCGGTGCACCTGCGAGAGAAATGTTCGTTTCTTCTGACTTTTAAAAATAATAACTGTCAACATATTCATCAACAAGTCCAGTCGAAGTAATTTTCCGATCAAATTGGCATTGAGGCGGTGTTTAACTCTTGTTTACAGCCCCGCGCCAGTGGTGGAAATTCCCTGTTCCTATGGCAGGGACGAGTCTCTCCATAGGGTAAACGAGGAATCAAACTCGCAACTTTCTGCTTGCTAGCCACCCGCTCTATCGCTGAACCATCCGACCGGATAATCTTGCTATACATCACAATGTGGATGCGTGCAATTGCTTAATTGCACCGTATCTCATGACGCTGTGGACAAACTGGGCGTGCTTATTGATTGAATAGATGCAGTTAGTTATGTGCAGATGAAAAGGGGAAGGCTCTGAGCCTTGACTTGAACAGGGGTAGGGAGTCAACAGCAAAGGTGGCAGGGGGAGTTCCAGACTATGGGGACAGTCGAGAGGATTGAGCAACCTCCCGCAGGCCTTTCAGGAAAGATCTCCAACTCACATGAACATCCTTATTCACATGGACATTCTTACTCGCGTGAACATCCAACTGAGAGAAAAAAAAACAAGACCTCTCGGGGTCAGCGAGGCCCGGCTCACGCGGACCATCGACACCTGCACGTAGTGTAGGCCAGACGAACACGGCAGTGGGTTTCTCCTTAAGAGTGACCATGGTTGACCTCGCACAGAAGGGGGCTACCCACTTTACCGATCCCCAGTCGGACGTACAACGGAGAGGGATTGGAGATGAACGAAGCCGCGCGATTTGGTAGGCAACGGAGAGATGGACCGGATTTAGTGCCGTGGTCGCTGCTGATCTGACCGACCGAACCTTGGGAAGAAGAGACCGGCCCGAAGTCGAAGGATCCGCTTTACCTCTGACAAACTCGTTGAGATATTCCCACCATTGTCTTATGGTTGAGTCGCCAAGTAGAAGAATTTCCTTTTCCTTCAGGCAAGCTCGGATCTCTTGCGGATCGTCGAAATGCTTCATGTCGCACAAGGTCGAGTGCCAGACGTTGCCAAAGTAGTGGCCGCTCGGGTACGCGGTTCGCAATCCAGGGACGCATGGCTTAGGTGGCCTCGTTGTCGATTCTGTGACATGTGTACAACACAAATCAAGCCACTGGAGATGTTGCGTCGTTATATTGGCAACGTGACAGAGCAAAAAGCGATGGGGATCCCAATTATGAATCAAAACATTGGCTGCAAAATCCTACACCATCACGAGTTTCCAATTCTACAACGCTAGGAGTCTCTAGTTCACCTCATCATTTGAATAAAAGCCGTTTGTGTAGAGTAATTATAACAAACAAAAACAGCCGTTTGGAAAATGTTAAGTGGAAAACGAGAAGTATAGATGTTGTGAGTCAACTGTAATGAGAGTGCCTCGCTCAGGCGACGGGACTTCACACTGGGGTTCTCTGCCGTGGCCACGTCGGCTTCTCACGTGTAGATTGCAGCGTCACACAAATCCTCACCGTCCGTGATGGAGGCATGGACGTGATATGAAACTCGCAGCGGCACCAGGATGTGGTCCCTGCAATGAAACACGCACAATGCGTTGTTGGCGTCGTAGGTACGTGCTTTTGAAAACGTTGGACCAACGTCGGGCCACAATTGAACCAACCTTCCATGCTTACCGGGGTAATAATAACAACAATTAAAGGGTTACCTTGAAAAAAGCCTCCTTTCATCTTGAGTGAACACTTTCCAGTATTTTGTGAAGGACGTGTATCCGTGGATAGAGTAGCAGGGGAAGCCGCTAGGCTTTTCGCAAATCAAGCCTTCGCCCAAACGCTCGTCAGTGAAATTGCAGACCTCTTGGGTTGTGTTCAGGAACAGTTCGCACACCGCGGTCTTTTTGGCCTCGCCCGCCACGAACGTTCCCCAGAAGCTGACTCTGTTTGGCACGGACTCCCTCGCGTTCTCCAGAATCCCCACCGCCTCACCGGGGTGGACCAGAATGATCTCCAGCCGACTCTCTCCCGGCCACAGGATTCTGAACTCCACGGTGTAGGTCCCGTCGCTGTGGTCGGTCACGGATGCCGAGGCCGCGGCGCCAAGGTCTGCGTTGTAAATCCGGGCCATGACGAAGTCGCCCCCGTGCGACTTGGGTTTGCCGGTGGCGTCTCGCATTTCCAGCTTCGCGCGCAGGGATTCGCCGACAAAATGCTCCTCCCGTCCGTCCACAATCGTGACAACGCTTTCCGAGGCCGAAGTCACGAGCATGGGATTTGTGGATATTGGCAGGTGCCACGTGGATCGGCTGTAACCCGGCGCGTGCTTGTTGCGCTCGGCTGTGGACAGCGTATCGGCCCCTCTGATGGTTTGATAGTTAAACTTCGGCTTGACACGATGATGATGATCCCTGAGAAGCTGAAGGGAAAAGTGGAATGAAGCCCAGTAAACGTGCAACTTTGCCATGGGGTTGAACCCGTTTGATCAACGTTGGCCCAGCGTTATATGTTTACTCGGACGGTGCAAACCACATGGAACCCTCTTCCAGACACTGAACTATTCCTCCAGTCTCAACCTATCCTTACTCTCCAATCGGAAGACACTCATGCCACATCTGCAACTGTTACAGATAGACAACATTCTATATTAAGTGATGGTGTGCACCATTTAACTGTTCATATTTATTGATGTGTTTAACTGTGGTGTCATGTTCATTTGTACAAAAAAAATGTAACTATACAAGTAATATGTTTAAAATGTGTGTACACGTGTCATTACGTGTTTGCTATGTACGTGTCAAATGACACCCTAGACACCCTTACAAACGATACATTCCATCTCAAGTGATTTCCACTTTAAATACTGTAACACGATTAATTTAAAGCATGCAATTAACACTATGAACAACAGATGTATGGGAATGTGATCACCAATGACAATTCTGTAAAAAGTCAATGATACATCGCTTCGCAAGAACTAAAAATCCATAACATCCTGCAAAATTCCAATAGTTTGCGCAATTTTCGGGATCGCAAATACGGTCAATCTTTGCTACCCATTGAGGACCATTGGCAGACGAATGCCCGCATGCAGGCCGGTGCTGTGTTCACGTTGTGCCACAGAGGAACAGCTGCCATCGCTCGACTGCAGCAGAGCATGGCAATGGTTGAAATAAAATGTCATTATGTATGTTGAACTTCTTTCGCACCGTACGTAGCTAACCGTGCTAATCGGAGGTGCGAGGGAAGGACAACAAACTAAACACAAAACGCTGTTCTAAAGAAATGAGTTTTCCATTTATATTCAAAAGTGCATAGCACCAGTGGCTTCCTAACATCGGAAGGAAGAGTGTTCCAGACGGCCACGGAAGCGAATTTTAAAGCGCACGATTGAGTGACCTTCTTTGTTGGATGGTTGTGATGGTGTAAGACGCTATTCTCTTCAAGCGTGTGGCAATGTGTTCAGGAGCTACATGTCAATGTCGCGGTCTGCAGGCCACGAGAAGAGGGCTTCATTAGAGAGTTGGTGTCGTTTTGATTTTCCTCCTCCGTCGAAGGAGCGCAGACCACAGTGGGTTACGATATGATCCGTAGTTTGGGATGCATGCCCATAGTCGAACTACTGTGGTTTGTCTTTAATGCATCTCTATGGCTCTCTGTGTGTTTGTGTCTCTTTGTGTATCGATGGGCTCCCTCTATGGCCCATAGTTTGGGTAGCATGGCCACAATTGCACTGTGGGTGGGAGACAGTCGCCTTCTCGCGGTGGCTCCACCCGTTATGTTCCCGTGTCACCTTGAACACAACTAATAGAGTACCGTCATCTGTGCGTAATGGGCGCGGTGAATTCCAATCCAGATCTCTAAGGCACTTCTAAAAATATTTTTTTATTTACCAGGTAAAGCCCACTGAGCTGAGCTCTTTTTCCGAGGCGGCCTGGCCACACACGATGGCTCCTCGATGTGGCTGATGTCATCGTACGTCGGAATGCATAATAGCAGCCAAATTATCTGAAGGCGTGTTCATTCTAAACGTGGAGGGGGAAACCGGAGGAACCAGAAGAAAAATCCACCGACCAACACGGGGAGAGAGAACAGACGGACTCCAGATATACTATTAATTTTTTTTTAAACAAAAAAATGTATTTACCATGTAAGGCCCACTGAGCTCTTTTTCAGAAGCGACCTGGCCACAAATGATAGCCCGACGAAGTGGATTATCACGTGGAAATGTATAACAGCCAAATACTCTAAACGCGTGATGTTGATTGCAAATTTGGAGGGAAAAACCAGAGGACCCAGATAAAAAAGCGTAGAAAAATCCACGCGACCACGGGGAGAACATGCAAACTCCAAATATACAGGCGTCAGTGTCCGGATCGAACCCACGACTTTCTGTATACCAGGCGATGTAGTTAAAATCTCGGCACCGTGGCGCCCCAAGGTATTGTTAGGATCGGCATTGTACCCACGACCTCTTGCATACCAGGCGAGGGCGATAACATCCCATCACCCTTAAGGACAACGGCAAACCGAGGTCACTCATGTAGGTGAACAGAAATGGCATGGAGGCCTTCTGCCCTTGTACAGGAGTATGTATATGTGTTTGTTGAACTTCTTTCGCACCGCACGTAGCCAACCGTGCTAATCGGAGATGTAATTCGTTCGGTATAACTCTGCCGGACGAGGGCGAGTCTTTAGCATAGGACAACCACTGTTGACTTCCACACAAAGTGGTACTGGCTTTTATCGACCCCCCCCCCTGGAAGGAGTGATGATGGGTTGCGTCAACCCCCCCCGCCCCCCCCCCAAACTCGATCAATTGAGTTCTCAACAATTTCCGATCGGGAGCCGCTGCCTCTACCCCGGAGTCACACGGCCGGACTGCTCGACTGTATTTTGCCTCTCGCCAAAGTGTGAGCCTGTGTCGCACCACGCGCGAGAGCCGGTGTTTGTCTCCACGCCGGCACGTTTCTTTCCATTTCACAGCGGTCACCGTGCGGAGGATGTTAGCTTGCCTCGCCACGTTACATTTAACGTTAGTTAACGTTAGTTAAATGTAACGTGGCTTTTTATTCGACACGTGTGCGTCGATGGCCCAGCCATGGATCGAGGGTCGAATTCGAACCGCGTTGTGTGATCGGCATCGCGCTCGCTGAAGGTGAATGCCTTCAGGGAAGTCGTGTACTCTATACGCAAATGCGCACAATTCTGTGAGCCTTTACTTCGGTTATCCTTGCAGTTTCGTACAAATGATATGTAAATTAAGAAAATAATACAACGGTGAACTGGTTTTTGTAAAAACAAGTCATCAAAAACTTTTCAAACTGTACTTCTGATCAGGCCCCATGCTGTTAAGTTCAGTCTCCATCGCCGTATTAACTCTGTCTATGTGATGTTTCTGATAATTATGCGCAATGAGGAAGGACCATTGGCCGAAACGTCACTGATTCTCTATTATTTTCATTTCAGGGCCACAGTGTTATTAACGAATGTGTTGAGATTGTTTTTTTTTATTGTGCTTGTGCACTACTGCCAACGCAGCATCAAAAGTAATGTGTTTAACTAAGTTAGGCAGACATGCTTTCCATCACTTATCTGTCCCTCCACGTAGAAAAACTACACGTAATGTTTTTTTACGCATGCCATCAGCCACACTGCATTCTGCGAGTGCGCACTTTCAGTAATGCTTACTTGAACTCAACAATAGCATTTTAACACAATCATATCACCTCTCACAAACAAAGGATACAACCCCTTACCTTTTTGTTATCATAAAATATCAATGGCAACAAAAAACCAAATATCACAGTTGAAAGCAGCACCATTTTGGTGGTCATGTCGTTTCCAGGCTCGTTCGCTGAGCGCCGTGAACCTGTAACTTCACCAACACGACACAAACACACACACCCAGCCATTTATCCTGTAACTTCACCAACACGACACAAACACACCCAGCCATTTATCTTGTAACTTTACCAACACGACACAAACACACACACATCCATTTATCCTGTAACTTCACAAACACGACACAAACACACACACAGCCATTTATCCTGTAACTTCACAAACACGACGCAAACACACACACCCAGCCATTTATCCCGAGAGGATTGAATGTAAAAAAAAAGTTCGTGCATTCATTCCTTCATCATTCCGTGTCCACCACACCAACTTCGTCAGATCAATTGACGACCATTGCAGGGGCCCACCGCGCACGATCAACAATGGCGGCGCTGCACGCGGCTTCTAACGAGGAGACGACACCGGAGCGGACAGCCCCGCTCACCGATGTTTCTCTCTTCGTCGGCCAAAACCTATAGCGCTGTACAAGGGCGTGTGGTTCAGGCATCGCCTGCAGATCGTCCATGGCCCCTCCAGACACTCGCAAGAAGTGCCATCATCTGAGCAGCTGATGGTGTTGTTCGCAGTCGAGCGTTCCACGGTTGGGAAGCGAAAGTAGAATTGCAGGAGATGGCTTTACACAAATAAATGCTGTTCTTCCAAATGCCATTTCTAAATGTTTAGATAATGAATACTGATTTAGCAAAACGTGTGGCGGTGTGCGTTGCGTCTATGTTGTGATGGGTTTTCTAGCCACTTACGAATTTTACCATTAGAACGATCATTTATGCTGTTATCACTTTCAAAAACGTAGCAAAGTCGACCGCCAATAATGGCCAATATACTGAATATGTATGGCTCATGCATACAGCTTGACAGCCCTCAAGCCATGACCTCAATTTAAAGGGGTGGGGGGGGGGGGGCAGTGAATACAATGCCCCACGTATTGGAGCACGACAAAATCAATGTTAAACAAATATCATGCAAATATTAAGCGCTAAACAGAATGAGAAATGATAACAAACTGCTCAAGGCTATCGTACATTCGATCTAGCTTTGTGTAAATATTGTGCCAGGCTGTTGGAATGGGGCGGTGACACGAGGCCAGCAATGGCGCGTCCGCCGCTTGTTGCAGAGCTGTGCGCGGTCCGATTCCAGTGGCCGCCCTGGTTAATACCGCTGGTGTATTAATTATGCAAAGGTGTTCCGTCTGCTTCACAGTGGACGTCAAATATCTCGTGGCGTCATTCGCAAGAGCAGGCCACTGTGTGTGCCCGCGCTATGATACAAATTTGCCAAAATAAAAATATATATTCGCAGGTTACTCAATCGGAATATAAATGTCAGTTACTGCTCCTGACTGTGAATACTTGGCAAGAGCCTCCTTGAAAGGCCTGGGTGAGGCTTCCCTGAGTTAACAAGGATAATAATAATAATACCAATAAGCGTGTTCGCTATTGAGCTACCAACGAGGGCATTATTATCACCAACGGCGGAGTCAGGATTTTCAGGTAGAGGGGGGCAACCCCTCCAGCAAAGAAAAATTATAGTTGTTAGTAAGTAAGGACTTGTCCCTTGCTTTTTATTCGACGCGTGTGCGTCGATGGCCCAGCCATGGATCGAGGGTCGAATTCGAACCGCGTTGTGTGATCGGCATCGCGCTCGCTGAAGGTGAATGCTTTCAGGGAAGTCGTGTACTGTATACGCAACTGCGCACAATTCTGTGAGTCTTTACTTATTGGCAATTAGGGACCCAGACTATTGTCATATCATCTCATAGAGTCCCTGACACATAATAATATGCTACACAGTGGCAGTGGGGTCGCGAAATGCCGATTTACTACTAATAAACTCCAATGATCGATCGGATCATTGGGGGGGCATGTGCCCCCCCCCCCCTACTGGCTCCGCCAGTGATTATCACGACCTTCGCTCAACCGCTAAGCCACAGTTTCAATGACAGATGTGTGGTCTTTTCCTCATAAAATGCCTGTGCAGAAAGTGTCACTGCATTGGCGTTGTCGTATGCCAGAAAACGATATGATGAAATATTGGCGCTTAATTTCTTACCTCTCTTGGCCGTTTCACAGCATGAGCGGAGCCAATGCACAGTGGCTGTCCGTCTCTTGCCCAGTCGGCATTCGAAACTCTGCAACAATAATGCAACTGGCCTCCCTCAGCCCCTGCTTATAAGACTCGTGGCGAATCGATGCGAGCGCGACGCGTACCTTGCGGTACTCGATTAAGAACGCAGGAGAAATCATTGCGCATCTTGCTTCGCAAATCCTGTCAAGGTCGCGAGGGTTATGTTTGCACACTTTCCGAATGACTTGCGAAGAGTCATTATGGACCACGTATTAAAACCAATGACGTTTATAAGGCATCCGGGTCGCTCGCACGATACATCAAGATCACCGCATGGCTGGCGAAGGATCTCGCCACGCCATCACCATGACTCACAGCCCTGCGATGCCTAAATCCATCTCACTCCTGCACAGGGAGCGAGGTTATTGCTCCATCCACAACAGTGGTCAGTCACCCTCTGAGCCGCGCTCTCAAATAGTTTTTATTTGATTCCATCACCAGTCACGCCATCATCCCTTCTAGCGAATTGTCCTTCCTAAATCGCCTTCCCTCCTTCACAGTCAATACGATGTCTCGAACTCGCAAACGTCCTGGAATCCACGCGCCCCTCTTCCTGTCCCTTCAACCGCTTGCGGTCACCTTCGCGATGTTTCTGTGCTGACGTTTCGTAATTGATCGTTTTGCTATTTCACAGTGTCCACATATCATGTCTTTAAAACCCCCTACCACTTTAGGCACATTCCTCTAGATTTGTAAATTTTTTTCCAAAAGTACCCTGACCTGTTCTGACCCACCTCTTCATTTCACGACGATGAGTCTGTCGCACCCGAGCCACCTGCTCTGGGTCTTCCAGTAGAAATTGTTACGGGTTTACGTGACAAACCTTACTAATTTCCTGTGTCGGGTGGTGGCGGGTTTAACGACACGTTTGTGTTTATGCGATCTTACCCAAAACACTTCTGTTATGACTTCCAACAATGAGTCACGCGATTTAGGTCACAACTGTAATGTGGCTTTTGTTTTTACACATCTTGACTATGAAGTCCAACTCTGCAGGTGTATCCATTCAGTTATTCACACATTCCCCTGGTTGCTTTTTCAGCTGTTGTTTATGCTTCGAATGCTCCAACCCAATTGTCTGAAAATATTTGGCAATCCTCCTGGTAACAGCCCCGGTGAAAATATAGCTCCGTGAATGGTGAATGTTCAGAATAATATTGCCAAGATCTTCGTGTATGATCGACGTGCAGCGATTTCTTCCCATTTTTATTTAGACCCTGCCTTGAGAGGGCGTGCATCATGATGGCACACGTTTCAACTGAATCAAACGCCTTTTTATACTTTTATTGTCGGGCCATCGTTCTTGAATGTTGTTTCAGCTTTAAGTGAAACGGAGCTCGGTTGTTGGCGAGGCTTGAAGGACAACGTACAATGTTTTTCTTTAGGATAAGGAATAAAAGGTGATTGTTTGAATAAAGTATGAGCTATTATTCAAATCGGACATGTGGAGGAGGAGGAGGATAAAAAGAGACGCACTCCTCAAGACAGCATCGAAAATAACATCAGAAAACATGACACGGGGATGACCTCAGACTTCACAGCAAACGATGGCGGCGTGAAAGCAGAAATACTTCGCTTGATGTGCAGTGGGCAAATGTAGCAGCCATCGGGGTGCAACAGGCAGCACATCCACCACAGTCGTTGGGCACAGCAGCCCTGTACCATGCATCCCGCCAGAGCAGTGCCAACCTCGTGAGGCAGGCGATAGAATAGTGGTACGCGGACCCCTGGGGGTAAGTGGAAATGTCCCAGGGGGTACGTGAAGTGATTTTTAAAATGTGTGAAATTGTGTCAGACACCAGAGTCACTGGTGAACAATCATGTATGAATCTGCCAATATAAAATAACTACAATAAAATGTCAATGCATACAGTAACCTAGAACGGCATACAATACCTTTCTAAACGCATTGATCGTAAACAATGTTGGTTTTCAAGAGTAACAAGCGAGCGCGAACAAATCACCTCACGCAATGCAGAGCATCCGTTGAATTGTTTTTATTAGCTTGCAGTTGCTCGCGAGTTAGGATACCTCACAAAATGGACAATTGGTTAAAATCTTGGCATTTATTGTTCGCACATTTATTTCTCAGAACCATGTTGGGTCAGGCAAAGGGAGGGGGGGGGGGTACTCGGTTGGAACAACATTCAACAAGTGGGTACAGTAGCCAAACAAAGTGTCGAGAACCACTGGCGAAGAGCAGCCTGTGGTGCCACAGCAACGGAGCAACTCCACCGGCGCTGCCATCCCCTCGCACCCCTCCACACGAACGCACGCACACCCCCACTAAACACACACACGCACCCACTTAGGGTCTCGTAGGGGGTCACCTGGTACCATGGGTTTTTACCCGAGGGGCCCCTAGCGGGGATGTCCCATGGTTTCCCAGTACCAGGAGATTGGCCGACCCCCCCAGGACAAAATGCAATGCGGCCCCAGTGAATTGGCTTTAATTGTGTGTTGACCGACCCTCTGTGTTGTATTACATTACATTTCGATATTTTACTAGGTTATTTAATTTTAGTGTGTCCTCCTGATTTTCAGGCTTGCTTGCCGTGTCATCGCACTTGCAGCATCACGTTTGTTGTCCACTCATTGATATGCAATGTTTTTCTCGAACCCCCTCCCTCTCTCTGCCTCCGCCCCCCTCTGTCTATTTTAGGCCACCCCACAGAGACGATCACCCCTCTCTGTTACCTGTGTTGCTCTCTCTATGTATCTTGGTGATATCTGTCTACTAATATGTCTGTCTATAGTTTTCTGGTTAGATTTTATGTGGCTTAAAATTGTATGGGCACGACGAAGCTCACCGAGCTAACCGCAATGAGACACTCACAGCACGGGGAAGGGGCCGGGGGGGGGGGTATTACGCGGGCAGCACAAGACGAGGAGGTGGGAGGGAAATTCCTGGACCCACTGCAGATGTGTATTCCGCGAGACGGCCACCCCGATCAAACCGGTTGAGTCCAGGGTGGGGAGGACGGGTGCGTAGACAATGGATCGAGGCGTAATGGGAAAGCAACGCTCCAGGTAGGGACGGGGCATCGGTTTAAAATCGAAAGGTAGGCGCCCGATTGGCCGCACAGGATAACCCCACATGACCCTGGATCTTTGGATTCCGAGGGCATAAAAGGAGGGAGCGGAAACACGTTGAGGGGAGTTCTCCTCCAGCCGTTCAGCTGCCAGGTCCGACTCCTAGTCGCTCGCAACGTCCGAGAGACGCTAGCCGAGTGCTGCTACGACTCGATCCCAGGCAGAGACCTCTCGGATCCTCGTCCCCCTGACTCCCACAGCGTCCGTGGGACACCGCGAGTGCGTCTGCGTGGTGAGAAGTAGAGTGGGGGTACACCCAGGGATTGAATAGGGATAGACTAGGCGCTGCTCGCAGAATGTTTACTCCGGGCCGTACAGGGCTTTCTTCAGAACGCGCCATTAATAAACTTCAGTTCAGAAGATCGGTGTCGTGTGATTTCCGTGTGTGTGGACGAACTTCGGCGTGGTGTCTGTGATTTTTGAGTAGAGCGACTGCGTGCGGGGCGGGGTGTTTGAGAGAGCGAGCGCGGGGCTGCAGGGTGTCGGCACGGGGTTGGGGTGTGAGGTGCGCATCTATTACCATATATACGACCGTCATTGTTTACTGCGAGTTTTCATTCGAGTGTGTAGAAAACGCGCACCTGCTGTGCCGCGTGAGTGATTAAGGTAAGGGTCGGGGGTACTAAATCCACTATCTGCCGTTTGCGCGTAGATTACCATCTCTACGACCGCGACCGCTCGCGTACGTGTTTGCACAGCGCGCTTTGCGCAGCGTGTTTTCACAGTAGAAATAGCCTTAACGGCAAGACGTTGTTGTATATATATATATGCCTTTTTCCAAAATTGATATTAAGAATAATTCTGCCAATATTTTTTAATAATAAATCGGGGGGTAACGTGGGGCACAATTTTTTTTACAAAAACCCTCACCCCGCTGCCCTCACAAGCCAGACAAGAAGGCAGCTGGAGATGAGCCGTAAAAATGTAACACCCCACCGTGAAGGAAGGTAGGAGCCAGGCCTTGATTAAACAACGTATCACTCAAATAAAAGTAGAACACACACACGTACCTAAAACAGCAGGGGACCCAAATCTCCCCGGACGAGGGATGACGAAATAGTCCAAAACTTAGCGACAAGAATAAGTGGACATTATAGACTGCCAACACACTCACTCCGATTAAAAACTAGGCTACAATCTACATTAGTGGGTTATTATTTATCATATATTATTTTAATACTAATGTTATTCATCTTATTTTTATTGTTCTATCTACGCGACTTTTCCGAAATAACCAAAGAAGGAATTCTGGATAAACAGAAACCAAATAATAATTATGAAGTATTAGATCGAGGGTCATCCAGAAGAATAAAAAAATAACCCGTAAAAACAAAGTTTTTCACTCTAAATCCTTTATATGCATGGCGGCTAGAGTCCTGTCGTCCTGTGGCTTGAAATGGCTGCCACCTATGGGTCAGATGATTGTCTGCCAGCATTAAGCAATTGGTAATTAAATATGTAATTTTTTTTCCCCTAAACAGTGTAAAATTTTGGGAAAATTTTTTCACGAAAATTAATTGTCTCGCACAACGAGTCTGTGTGGAAAATGTCAGCTCGATTGGATCACGGGAAGTGGGTTAAAAAACGACCGAAAGATTTGCACGGTCGTAAGCAAGCAAGCAAGCGAACTTAATATAAAGGATTTAAAAAGGCGAAACAGGTCAATCACACATAACCAAGATAAAATGTATCCCATAGAGAGAGAGCCTCCCAACCGCCTTTATCTCCCAGCCAGAGGTGTGGACTCGAGTCATGTGACTTGGACTCGAGTCAGACTCGAGTCATGAATTTGATGACTTCAGACTCGACTCGACAAAATGTACAAAGACTTGCAACTCGACTTGGACTTTAACATCAATGACTCGTGACTTCACTTGGACTTGCGCCTTTTGACTCGAGAAGACTTGCTACTTCCCATGAAAACTGGGGGAAAAAATGTTCACACGGCCGCGCCGCTCTCAGTTTATCTGCATCTGTGAAAAAAATGTGCACCACCTGTATGCATGCAGAGAGCACGCGCGCTGCCTGCACGACATCAAATCACTGTAGTCCCACGTTGTTTTGATTGGACAGCATCTAAGCAGGCACATTGCAAGACAACCAATGAAGCGCAACAAGCAACAACGCGCCAGTTGGCAAAATGATACCGAAGATAGTTTCGTTTGGCTATAAAAATTACGATGTAGTCGACAAAAAACGAGTTGCAATTTGCAAAACATGCGGGTCGAAGATTACAGACGGTGCTGCCACAACGTCTAACTTTGTTCGACACCTGAAGTTGCACAAAGAAAGGTAAGTTTTGAACGAATGCTGAGCACCTTATCGGATGTACCGTAACTTACTAGCTGCTGCATATTTACTGTATCAACGAGACAGTAAACGCACGTCTCCCTTGCTGGTTAATGCTTACAAAAATAGGGATTTTTGAACCCCGATTATATGAGGTACATGAGTGTAGCACACTCAGATGGAAAACCTCTTCAACATCATGTCAACGTCCGTTTTAAAGTATCATTTCTACCTTGCTGCTAGACGGATAAACACAAATGTATATCTCAGTCTCTCCAACACACATGAGACAAAAACAGGCCTTCCAGTTTTACTCTTTCAATCGTTCAGTTTCAGAGTGGCTGGTGTGCTGCCTCATTGAGGTCGTTTATGTAATTTTGGTTAATCACAACTAAGCTGAACTGTCGCTGAAGACATAAACTATCACAATTAAACAATGAATGAGGCAGCAGTAGACCTGCAATTGCTGTGTGATGCAGCAAGGCACCATGGAATCTGGTGTGCAGGAGAGAGTGAACTTTAAAGCAGGGGTTCCCAAACTTTACCATGACAAGGCCCCCCATATACCAGTAGATTCCAGCCAAGGCCCCCCTGACATGGGCCGTGCCACACTCTTTTTTCTGTGCACCTCCTTTCACAACTCGATGGAGTTGGTGCATCCCTAAACCCATCCAAGTACAACAGGAAACATAGTAAGACATATACACTGTAAAGAGGAAAATGATGACACAGTCACAGAAGATCCACCATTAGCCTTATGACTTTTGAAGCAGTGAAAATATTCTTAATATTGCATACACTGAAACTGAAATGTATTATCGTATACCGTAGTGTACAATAGATATGGCTGCAACAACAAACAGGACAAAGGCACTATAGGAGTGCAAAGTATAAGAAAGGTAAGCAAATTACTTTAAAAAATATAAACGTATAAAACTAAACAGTTTTTTTTTTATATTTTATCAAGTAAATCCCACTGAACTATTAGATTATTTTTCAGAAGTAACCTGGCCACAAACGATATGTGGACATACTCTTTGGTTCTTTCAGTAAAGTCACGTAGGTATAAAATAAAAAAAATTAAATCACGACGTTTCGGGCACAATACAAGCGTCCGTCATCAGGTGGGACAACCACAGCAAGAAACAATGGCTGAAGTGGGAAAAATGGCTGCTGTAACAAGAGGCTATATAGGTGGAGCCAGAGAGGGGAGGAGCCAGGGAGGAGAGATAGAGAGGGGGATGTGGGGTAGGGGTAGTGGAGTGCTGCCAAGTGGAGTGCTGCTCGAAGGGATTAAAGGGCGAGCATAGACAAAATGTAGGGGGGGTTGGGGAGGACAGCGGGGCTGGGAGTGGGGAGCTAAAGCAACAGGAGATGCGGATATGAAGACAAGACCATAACGCATTTAAGGTTTAATCTGGTTCATAACATCCTTCCAATGATTGCTCGATTTGTATCCATCTTCTCGGTTGAAGTTATGGCTCTGTTTATATATCTGGATGGCTTCATGAACAAACCTTTGATAATAGCCCGAAGGTTTGTAGAGCACCTTGGTCTCGGAAAAAACAATATCAGGAGAGCCCACAGCGTTATAGCAATGGTCAGCCACGGCAGAGGTATTAGTCCTGGCGTGTTTCAGATATGTGGACATTTAAAGCAGTAACATAATCACTCTGGACACCTTTGCAAACGAGAAGTTCCATCTCAAGGGATATTCAAGGTGAAATATTCCCGATGTGGACAAAAAAACTAAAGAAAAATTATACCATCACGGGCAGTCTGAGAGACAATTCTGTAGTCCGGTACAACGCGAGCGCATTTCCTTGTACATGCACGCCTTCGGTTCTGTGTCCTCTTTACAAGCAGGGCTTGGCAGGTGCTGCGTGAAGGTTCGTCAGCGATGGTGATGGCTTGGGGAGGCCTTCATCCAGGAGCGGATTGACCGTGGCTGACGATTATGTTGATGTGTGATTAAAACAAGTCATGAACACCAATTATGTGAGAATGACCTGCGATCTGTTACTAAGAACTTAACGTGATGGCGATAGTGTCCTACATCCGGCAGTGGTTATGCAGTATCTTTTTCAGTTCTCGTTTTGAAACGGCAGTTGCTTTGTCTATATAAAACAAAAAAAAACCCCCTTAGAATTGCAGCCCAGGGCCTATCTTGCAAAAAAAAACAAATTCGAATTTACATTCCTTGTCAAACTGCTGGTCAGCAACTTGAAGTGTATTGTGACATCGCAAGACTGTCATGCTTTATGGCGTGAAGATATATTACGATGCTTAAAATAAACGCAAGATAACAGGACATAATACATCATTATCGTTGCATCACACGACATTCAGTGCATTTTTTAAAACGAAACCAGGATGTCAGTTGCTTTTGAGAATTGGATGCGAACACAACTTTGCTTTGTTGACGGCATTGTTTAAGCATCCTTAGCTTTGGATTTTTACGTAAAAATGTGGAGCAAGTTGCAAGGTAATATCAACGGAGGTCATTTTTAATTTCCCACGGCTGATTGTCACTGAACTCAAGAGGTGTATATTTAAACAGTTTCTGAGCGCAGGCCCAAAGGTCCAAAACGACAAGCGGTCAGCAACAAACAGCACTCAAATTTTAATTGATAAGAGGTATAAACACATTCTTAGGTGTTTTCGGTAAAGTCACGTAGGTAAAACATCAAAATTAATAAAAATAATAAAATAAAATAAAGATCACGACGTTTCGGAGGCAACACAAGTCTCCGTCATCAGGTGGGACAGTCACAGCCAGATCCACCTGATGACGGAGACTTGTGTTGCCTCCGAAACGTCGTGATCTTTATTTTATTTTATTATTTTTATTAATTTTGATGTTTTACCTACGTGACTTTACCGAAAACACCTAAGAATATGATTCCTTGCAGTCACGAAAGCTTCAAGTCTAGGTATAAACACCTTTGTTGAATTCTGCAAGGTTATACGTGCGAGAGAGGAAGCAAATAGAGAAGGGCTGTTACTTGCAGTGTGGTGAATGGGTGAGTGAGTGGTGAGTTAGTCGATGAGTGGGTGAGTGGTGAGTGAGTGGGTGAGTGAGTGGGTGAGTGAGAGGGTGAGTGGTGAGTGGGTGGTGAGTGAGTGGTGAGTGGTCAGTGGGTGGGTGAGTTGTGAGTGACTGGTGAATGGGTGAGTGAGTGGTGAGTTAGTCGATGAGTGGGTGAGTGGTGAGTGAATGGGTGAGTGAGTGGGTGAGTGAGAGGGTGAGTGGTGAGTGGGTGGTGACTGAGTGGTGAGTGGTCAGTGGGTGGGTGGGTGGGTGAGTTGTGAGTGACTGGTGAATGGGTGAGTGAGTGGTGAGTTAGTCGATGAGTGGGTGAGTGGTGAGTGAGTGGGTGAGTGAGTGGGCGAGTGAGAGGGTGAGTGGTGAGTGGGTGGTGACTGAGTGGTGAGTGGTCAGTGGGTGGGTGAGTTGTGAGTGACTGGTGAATGGGTGAGTGAGTGGTGAGTGAGTCGATGAGTGGGTGAGTGGTGAGTGAGTGGGTGAGTGAGTGGGTGAGTGAGAGGGTGAGTGGTGAGTGGGTGGTGAGTGAGTGGTGAGTGGTCAGTGGGTGGGTGAGTTGTGAGTGACTGGTGAATGGGTGAGTGAGTGGTGAGTTAGTCGATGAGTGGGTGAGTGGTGAGTGAGTGGGTGAGTGAGTGGGTGAGTGAGAGGGTGAGTGGTGAGTGGGTGGTGACTGAGTGGTGAGTGGTCAGTGGGTGGGTGAGTTGTGAGTGACTGGTGAATGGGTGGGTGAGTGGGCAAGTGAGTGGGTGAGTTGTGAGTGAGTAGTGAGTGAGTGGTGAGTGGGTGGGTGAGTGGATGAGGGGTGAGTGGGTGAGTGAGTGAGTGAGTGGGTGAGTGGGTGGGTGGGTGAGTGAGTGGTGAGTGGGTGGTGAGTAATGAGTGAGTGGGTGAGTTGTGGGTGAGTGAGTGGTGAGTGGGTGGGTGAGTGGATGAGGGGTGAGTGGGTGGTGAGTAATGAGTGAGTGGGTGAGTGAGTGTCTGTCCAGCTAGTTGTGCCTCAGGCTTGTTCCATCTAGGACGGTCCTCTAGTTGCTACCGTGGGTGCACACCAGGCTCAACATCCCTGGTGAGTCGGTACAGTCAGGAGCTGCCAACACACCAGGCTCAACATCCCTGGTGAGTCGCTACGGTCAGCAGCTGCCAACACACCAGGCTCAACATCCCTGGTGAGTCGGTACAGTCAGCAGCTGCCAACACACCAGGCTCAACATCCCTGGTGAGTTGGTACAGTCAGGAGCTGACAACACACCAGGCTCAACATCCCTGGTGAGTCGCTATGGTCAGCAGCTGCCAACACACCAGGCTCAACATCCCTGGTGAGTCGCTATGGTCAGCAGCTGCCAACACACCAGGCTCAACATCCCTGGTGAGTCGCTATGGTCAGCAGCTGCCAACACACCAGGCTCAACATCCCTGGTGAGTCGCTACGGTCAGCAGCTGCCAACACACCAGGCTCAACATCCCTGGTGAGTCGCTACGGTCAGCAGCTGCCAACACACCAGGCTCAACATCCCTGGTGAGTCGGTACAGTCAGGAGCTGACAACACACCAGGCTCAACATCCCTGGTG